ACAGGGGCTCGTCTTAGCCATTTTGGCCACCACCTGAGTTAGTCCCAAATCATGGAAATTTTACCAGGAGTGACTGAGCACGACTCGGATCCAAAAACACACCATGTGAACAAGGGGTAGGGAAGAAAGGGGGGGTGCTGTTGTTATTTGTAAGCTGCTGCTGTTGCTGCTGCTGGTATAGTTGACCTGCGTCAGAGTCATGACATTGACGGGATCACAATGTACGACGACACCAGTGCATGTGCGAGACCATGACAAAGACGATGTGGGTATGGTTGAGCATGACGAGTCATCGGGATCCCGCATTTGTGTGAACCAGTGAGCTGCACATGCCTACGACCAGTGCGAGAGCAGCATCCATGCGTTCCAACACATTGCTTGTCAATCCGCCCCAAGTCAACAGGATCTATATTTCCACATAGGAAACGAGTCCTTTTTCTCCAAGGTGTCCCAAACATACAAAAATCACAAACAATATCGTGTACGTGTTCGCTCTTCATCAACTGTTGAAGAGGAGGCAAATACCACACTTTTGAGGTGTAGGGGTTCTCAAGTATCCAAGGCAGTCTCCATGAGTCAAGCCATGAAATAATCTTGAGGGTAGACCGTATACAGCAATTACCAACACGTATCTTGTCTTGTTCATGAGGAGGAAGGTCAGGGAGGCCCCAAGGAAAAAGTTTGCTTCTGATAACCATGGTTCTGTCTCGTGCCACACTGAAGGATGAACATGGAGGCGCCAGCATAGCTGCAATGATACGACCTTTGTCGATGTCAAACTTTACACTCTGCAGCACAGCTGGACGGGTGAGATCAGCATCAGGCCCCGTGAGGATTTCCCACTCTCTACATGTGAAGCCAGCACGTCTGACTGCCCGTGCAACTCTTCCAGAACCAGCAAAAAAGTCTGCCACATACTGACCCTTCACTCCCCACTTGGGAGTGGAATGTGGGGGTAATCGAGGCCGAGTACGATTTCTCGCAAAAAACGCTCTGCCGACCTGCAAGCCATCTGGGTTGAAGGGGATAGGAGGTTCCAACTTGCTGCCAGCCTCCCTCCCTTCTCGTACCGAGTCACACTCTTCCGGCTTGCCCAGTTTCCGCGCTTGCGAATCTCCTCGAGAGTCCTCAGTTTCGCAGCATAGTCTATGCTTGGTCCCGAATGTCTGGCTTGGTACGGAACAACTTCGACCTTCAAGTCCTTGGCGCATTGATTGAACACTTCCAGGTATTCCGGGTACGTGAAAGTCCAGACAGGAGCCAAAGGAGGTCCCTTGGCTAGACGTCGCAGCACCGGCTCTATGAAGTCCAGAAAAGGTGAATCCAGAAGCACCGCATCGTCTTTCGTCCCAGTCTTTGATATGTCTGAAGTCTCTGTCAACGAAGTGAGGATGCTCCATGTTCCCGTGACTCCAGACGTCGGAGGCACGAGTCCCATCTTCTTCAACTTCAAGAGGGTGCTGGGCCTGTGGTACGTAGACAGTTGCAGGAGGTTGAACACTCCCTTCTGCAGGTGTCCACGAGCAATCATTCTCCATGCGATGCCGCACCACAAGGGCAGAGGGTATGCCAATCGAGACCTCGATGGGCATAGTTTCCTCCAACCTTTCAGAGCTCTCCATGCATGAGGGATCTTGCGGAAGCCATTCTTTCCAAACTCCGGGTGGCGATCCAAGAGCGCCGCCAAAGCATAGTCTCCCACATGACTTCCTTCTCCTTCCGTGAACTTCATCTCGAAGTATTTCACCAGGCCTGTATCCACCTGCTGATCCACTGAAAAGTTGAAGCCGTTCGACTGCAGAAAGGTCATGAGAGCTGACAGGCTTCTGTTGTATCTCTCTCTGACTCTCTTGGTGATTGCCGCCGCTTCCAAAAAACTCATTCCGGTTCCAAGTTGGGCATCCACCAAGTGCTGCAGCGGCTTTCTTGGCCGCTTTTCTAAAGAACGCTTCTTCTTTCCTTTTGGCTCTTCCTTGAGCTCTGACATAGTGCTCGAAGTCTCTGTCTCGAGCTCCTCCTTGTCTTCTCGTTGCCGGCGAGGTTCCAGACTTGACAGTTTCTGCAAGGCTGATTCGGTGAGGGGCAGTGTCAAACCCTTCACCTTCTTCTCCTTCAACCTGTTCTGCCAAAAAGTTTCCATGTCTAGGCACCTCACTCTTTTCTTGTCTGTCGGTGTGGCCTCTAGAGCATCTCTCCCCAAGCTCAACGTCCTCGTCCTTTTCCGCTGCAGCTGTGTGTGTTTGTTTGTCACATGGCTGCTGTCTGAGGTGAGAGACCGAGTCCTCTTCGGCCCCATTTTGCTGTGCGAGGGGTGCTCGAGGGGAAAAAATCGGTTCAACAAAATCATCCAGGAGGTCAACCAACAGCTTCGACGAGTTTTCATCGTGAATCCGAGAAGGCTCATCTGAAATGTTCAACTCACTGGGTATCCAACGTACAGCTACATGGATGTTCCTAGCTAAACAATATGCAGAGAACTCACGGAGGATCCTAAGAAGCTTAAAACTCTTGGATCTACTTCGCTCGAAACACAAGACTACTCCTAAGTTGTCACATAGATGCAGGTGTCGCAAATCATGACCGAATCGAGTGAGCGCCAGCCGTTTGATGCATTTCAAAACAGTTCTAGCTTCTAAAACACCAATCGGCTCAGCATGCTTCCATTTCCCCCAGAATCGAGGAGTCCAAAAACTGCGACCCAAAAAACGAGCAGGAACTTCTTCAAAAGAAGAGTCGACTTCCCATCCAAGTTCGCAGAGTCTTTTTGCAGTCACATGGTCTACTCGACCCCAGGCTGCTCCATCATAGTGAAACCCGGCTGCCGTCAGAGCACTTTCTCGAGCACTATGCCCGGCTGATCTCTTGAACCGAGACCGTTCTTGAACTCGCCCAACCTTGGCGACCACTGTCTTCGGCCACCAAGCGTGACAGCATCCAAAGCCTCCTAAGGAGGAGTCGCTGCTGGTCACATTTCTGTTCCACTGTCGCCACCAGTCTTGACTAAGCAAAAACAGACAACCTCTGAAAGCCTCCAACTCTTTTCGAACAGAAGGCCAGAGAGTGGCAACCTCATTGTACCGAGCATGTATAAAAGCATAGCAAGCACTGAAACAGACCAACGTTCTGCGGTTCATGAGAGAGCAGAAGGTGCAATGTCCCACAACTTTTTCAAGCGCCTGGCCAGAGCAGCGTCCACGCCCAAGCAAGCCCGTCAAAGCTTGATGCACCTTCCAGAGTCTTTTTGGGTTGACAGCACTTTTCAGGTTGCTTCCATCCAGTATGCAGCCCAGCGATTCAATTGCACCACAGCTCACTTCACTTGCATGAAGCTCCAAGCCAAGAGAGTTGAAATGCTGTTGCAGCCCTTGCATAGCTAGTTCCACATTAGCTGCATCAGTGTCAAGCACCCCAAGATTGTCAACGTAAACATAAAAATGTGTATTGTCTGCTTGCTCCTTACCCAACCGCAAAACAACTGGCCCACCTCTGTCCTGTGTCAGAACTGCTTGCTGTAAGGTGTCAACGGATCTGCACACATTTTCGTTGGCCCTCTGTGCGAAATACAAAGACCAAGAGAAACCCTGGCACAGACTGCCAGCGCAAGGGAAGACTGCATCACGCGGCCCCAATAGCTTTCCTTCAAGAGTTGTACCTTCCAGATTCAGAACGCTAGCAGGAACGGATTCCCAAGCGAAATACCTGCTCAGCCACGCAGGCACTCGCATCCGGTGAAAGCAGTCGCGGACGTCGCTGAGCCCAACATATGTTGTGACGGCTGAAAGAAGTTTGTAATCCCCCCAGCAGTCATCTTCAAGCTCAACTTCTATCCGACCAAAACCTTCGGCTGTTGTCAAAGAAACACCCGGAGCTTCTCTAAAGATCTCATTTGTTGGTCTGCAGTCTGTAATCAAGCGCAGCTTCGTTCGGTTTGATTTCCAGACAAAGAACACTCCAACTTTGCTCAAAGGTGCCAAGGTGTACGTGAAGTACCCAATATCGTTCAACTTTCTAACAAGACCATGATACGCTTTCCGGTTGTAGCGCAGCTTTGGGTCCCAGTAAGGTTGAACAGGATGCTCAGGTCTATCCTCCTTTGGCCGCAACATCAGCTCTGAATTCTCCTCCAGGTACTGACGGTCATCAGTAGGCAAGACATCACGAAGGTCAGGACAACCTCGACAGTCCTGCGGAACACTGACAAGCTCAGATTGGTAGGAGGCCACTGCATCATTGATGACGCCCATGTCATAGGGGGAGCCACCACGGAGAAGCACTTTCAAGGCTTCCTCCGGTTTCATGATCTCGTCGCCACTGGGCTTTTGGCTAAAAACCAAACCTTCCACACGCGAGAGAACCTGCTGCTGCATTGCACTAACTGTAAAATCTGATGACTGTGGTTCAGACTCTCCAGCTAGCCAATTCAGCGCTCTGACTACTTCGTTGCAGTTGTCAAAGGCTCGACAAATTCGGTCCCGTCGTTGGCGGACAGAACGACTCGTCCCCAACTTTCGTGGGGGGCATGCAAAAAGGGGCAGAGGAAAAAGCCGTCGTTGCTTGAAGCTGAAGGCCGCCGCTGCACCCGGCTGTGTCATTGCCTCCTGTCTGTACTGGTCATCAGGCAACATCTCCGAAGGCTCCAATGTCACCTGCCGTGAATCCTCAACCATCAGTCTGCCCCTGCCCTCCCTTGCCACCCTTCCGTTTCGGATTGGGTTTGGGGGCTGGCTTTGTGGGCAGTGACTCTGCTGCATCTCCTTCTTCCTGGGCAATGGCAGGAGCCCCTCTGAGCTCCCTCACCTTTTGGCGAGCTTGCAACAATTCCAGCTCCTCCTTGTTCTTGCGAGTGGCATAGTTCCGGAACGTTGGCGATACAATGTCCTCTGGAGTGCCTTGCCCTGCAAAAATCTTTGCGTTCTCCCATGAAGGACGGCTGGGATTGCTGTAAGCATCAACAATCGCCTGAATGCGGCGACACACCACCTCCATGGACATGAGGGCTGGAATGTTGACCTGGTCAAAAGTGCCTGCAAAAAACAATGCATCCACCAAAACTTTCATCTCATGAAAAGTCCTGTCAGTGGTCTCAATGTGTTTGCTGCGACACCAGAGTTGCATCCACAAACGAGGGTCCCCACCATGTCGCTCTGCATGCTTGATCAAGTGAAGACCAGTCGTTGGCCCTTCGAGGGGAGTTTGGTCAAAAGACGGTGTGTAGCTCTCCTTGCAGACATCCCTCCACCTCTTGTACCGGTCACCATGCTCATCAAAGTCTACCCAAAGAGTGCGGACGTCATTTGAACCTGCAGTCTCTCCACCAGCTTCATCGTCCCCACCTCCCTTCCCAGGTTGTGGGCACTCGCCAGAACCAGCGGCTGAGGAAACACCAAACAAAGCTCTCCTCCTGTCTGCATAGCCCTCAACTTCAGAGAGCTTCACCATGTCAACTTTCACCCAAACTCCTTTTCTCAGAGCTAAGGCACAGCTGGTGCCTACCTGCACGTCTGTCTCACTATTCAAGCTCACCTCCTGACCGAGAATCAATCCTCCAAGAGGTTCTGCTGCCAGCCAAACAAAGTCACCCAGGGCAGGCTGTACCTTCACGGCATTCTTTGGGGAGTCACTTGACTTGTCGAGCTTGCCAATTGGGGTTGGCTGTCAGCTCCTCACAAAGCTTCCACCAAAAAACTCTTCCAGTGTCTTCCGCTGTCCAGCATGGTTCACTATGTGAGTCGGCAAGGCCACACTGCACCCTGCCTCTCTTTCAGCCAACTTCACGCTGTCACGAAAAACCTGCTTGATCAAGGTGTCTGAGATGATCTCTCGGAAACGGTAAGCCGGAGCTCGGAGCCTACTGGGCAGTCCAAGGTCTGGCTTGAGGCCTCTCAATCTGATTGGACCTTCAAGCCCCTTGCAACCTATGCTCTCAATATACAGGTCTTTGTCTGGTGTATACATCACCACCTGCTCCCCACCCAGCACTAGTCCGATGAGGGCTTCATGCCAAACATGGTCATCACTATACCAAAGCAAAACTCTACTGCCACTAGTCAGATTGCGATAGCACTCCTCCTCCACGTCGCCGACCCCCTCCAAACTCAGATCTGCCATCTCCCGGCACCACCGCTTTGGAGAAGCGGATACCTAATAACAGACCAGTTCCAAACACCACCAGCGTACCAACACAGGCAATGCCGAGAAACCGAGGGCTGACTTCAGGGGCTTCGCAAGAACACTGACAGTCACACTCCGGCACAACGATGGTTGACTCTGGAATCCCCTTACGGTTCTGATCTCTCAAAAGCACCGCAAGGATCTGGACCGCAAGGGCCCCCCAGAGTCTCATGGCATTTCATGTGAAGCGATCCCTTGAGATGGATGGCCACGACACCGCGACGGGATCGGCAACAATCTCGTGTGACACACTAACATGTCACATATCATACCAGGTATTTCATACCTGAAGCGAGTCATCCCCTCCTCCCTCCCTCCTGGAGGCTCTGAACTCCTGCAAATGCAAGAGCTGCTCTTGAGCCTGGCCCAACACTGTCACTGTCACACCAGCCCAGCTTTGAGCTCTAGTTTACGTGTACGACGCCACACTTGACCAGTACGACGCACCAATATTCCAACCTTTGACCTAGGCAAGTATTGCTTGCCCAACTCCGGGGATATTTCAATCCTTTCGACCATGCATGTCTTGAGAAATTCAGTTCAAGCCAATGTGCACCGGCAGCCCTTTGCTTATTCAGCTAGCATGCCTTTGACCAGTATGCAGGATCCATAAGTCCATAAGTCATTCTCATGTTTGGGAATATGTTCACTTCTGGATGTCGTGTGCGGGTTCTTGAGTTTCTTTCGCCTGTGCTTTGTCCATGAAACCCTTTTGGATCGTTCAGCCTGTCGCTCGCGCCCGCGCCTGAGAAGTTCTTAAAACTTCCTCCCGGAGTTGCGGAAGCTCCTCCAGGACTTGGTCGATCAGGGTCTTCCAGAAGTCCTGGCCAAAGCAGTGGAAAAGAAAGAAACAAGCGTGAGTGGGGGCAGCGTTTGGAGAGTCAAAAGATGGCAACCCTGGGACCGAGTAGGCGTTCTGTTCAGGTCCAGAGTCTGCCCGTGCTTCTCCCCCAGCCATTCCAAATGTACGGAAATCTTGATTACCCTCCTTAGACCTTGTTATAAATAAAGGTAACAAAAAGCAAACACATCAAAGAACGTCGGAGGATTTCTCCGGGGCATCATTCTGTGGTCATCCTCTGCCTGCAAGAATCCGTTGATTAATTGTTTCACCCGTCCTCATAGACATGCCGTGTGTCTGATGTAGCAAAGGTTCTGGCAAGTGCAGGATGGAGTCCAACTGCACGCTGACCTGAGGATGCAGAAAGCTGCTTTCATTTGATGCAGCTGTCCAGGCTTCAACCCGCGCAATTAATATAGATGTGCAGAAAAATGATGTCAGCCCAGGTACGAAACCGGTGGAAGAGCTCAAAGAAGCACAGGGCTCGATCATCCTCCGGAAGCTGCTGGCACAGTCCAACGCACTCGAAGCAGCGAAGCGCAAAGTTCATGGCATAGCTGCAAGCCACGTCGGCCACATCACTAAGCCCCTCAGGATCGACTTCTCGGATGTACCTGAAACATCGCTGCAAACAGCTTCTGACAGCAATCTGAAGCAATCTGTAAGTCTACTGTAAGTCTCTATGATATCTTTCATCTTCCGAAAGTTTCTGCAAATGCTTTCTGTTCATGAAGAGTCAATGGGTCCGGCTTTGTGTTCTTTTTCTCACGTTGGGGCCTTCCCACCCACCGCCCCGCCTGAGCGTCAAGACCTCCTGGATCTGCGCGCGTGTTTGTGGGAATATCAGGAGTCCCACCGAGAGCATCGCCCAGCTGCAGAAGTTCACCTCGTTCCACCAACCGCCCGAGGCCATTGCATGGTTCAGCAATCACAGGTAACCGGTGATCTGGGGAAACACCGGACGAGGAAAAGGAGCCTTCTGTTTGGTTGAAAAATCATGAAAATCCGACATCAAACGCGGATCGAGGCAAGCCACAAAGTGAAGGTGGGTGTTTTCCAAGGGCGGTCGGTTGCGAGAGGCACGCCCTTGCTGGTCCAGCACACAACCACAATCGAAATGATAGCCTTCGGGTCCTGGTAGTTCTCCAAATACAAAGCCCACAGGAAAGGTATTCATCATATGCAAGGGTTTCAGCAAAAGCATACTCAGGTGATTGTTGTCGGGGCCTGAAGGTGGCTCCAATGATCAGGGTTTCTGGAAAAAGCAACTCACAAAATTGCGTCATGGACCCACAGTGTGGCTCTGAACTGACTTCCCTTAAATCCTCAAAGCTCTATACAGTAGCCAGTAGCCACTACAACAACAAAAAGCTACGAACCAACTTCCACCTCCCAGAACTGCCACCAGCAGGTTCACCACCGTATTTCGGAGCTTCTGAGCTGTGCCCACGGTGCTTTCCCAGCCATCACGGCCCAGCAGCAGACTGGCAGTCAGGCTTTTGGATGCAGACACGGCAGAGGCATCGCAAAGCATCCCTGCCACTGGAACCAGACTGGGATCCTCAAATCCCAGCGTCGCTTGAAGGCTTTGCTTGGACATTAGTGCCTGGGCCAAGTTGGGCTTCTGCTGGCCACGCTTCAACAGGACACAGGCTGCTGCATTGGCAAAGGCATAGCGCCGATCCGCCGGAGCCAAGCCATGCAACGCCACCTCGGCAGCACGGTCGGCCACATCGGAGATGAAGTCATCAGTGTCCATGAGCCAGGTGGCGATGGCGGAAAATCCGGGCGGCTGTCGTGTTTCCAGCACACTGGGTTGATAGGGACGGGCCTGCGACCAAAAGAATTCACGGCCACAACCTTCCCGATGCAAAGGGTTGGTGTGAGCATGGCCTCCACACAGCATCTGGTCACAGCCGCCATTCTGCTGGATCACTCGATTGCAGTGGGGGCAATGTCTCCCACCCTGTGAAACCTTCAGGAGTCAGGGTGGTCCAATTCCATAAAAGCATGAGTGCGACTTTTGAAGGAAGGTGTCCAAATCGGCCAATCACAAACGAGTGTCACACGATTTCGGCCCAAACCTGCATGAACATGAATGAACCATGATGAACCTGATCTTCGTGCACAAAATGGCCCCAGCCTGAAGTTGATCCAGCCGCTCCTGTTCCTGATCTTCGCGCTGTCTCCGACGTTTCTCATCCTCGTAGCCCGGCATTCCTTTCACCGGCAGGTCGTCCCAGGGGTCCTCGCCGACACCTGGGCGATCGGAGCGAAGCCGGGCGTTGAACGATTCGGTTTCGCGATCGGGTCTGGATCCAAAAGATGGGATCAAGTACAACTAGAGTTAAGAACGAGATGTATGAGGGGGCAAGAGTGTACAGCATCTCAGCATCAGTGATTTTACTGAGCCGAGCTTGAGCTTGTGACATATCGTGACCATTTTCCTTGAAATGACTAGCATCAATGCTACCACCGATGCGATTGCTCAGCTCTCGACCTCCTGCGCCTCTCTCCGGTTTCTCCAGCGCACCAGCCCAGTCGCTCAGCTCCGCGTTGCTGTGCGGCGAGCGTACGTCCAGCAAGCGGCGCAGCGCGCGGCCGGCCGCAGCGGTCGAACCGGCATGAGAAACAAGGGCATCGAAGAAGAGCAACATCTCTGGTGTGTTGATCCCCAAGCTACAAAGATCTTGCAGGATGTTTTTCGCCTCCTCCGAGGTCCACTGACCGTTGGCCACGATGGCTGCCACTTCATCCAGGAGGAGATGAGAAAATGCCACCGATCTCACCAAAGGAAAGGAGATGCCTCCAGATGCTGTTCCACTGCTCGAGGCTCTGTCCAGGTGAAATCTGGCCAGAGCTCCTTCAGCAATTTTGAGCAACTCGCGGCCAACAGGAGTGCATAAAGCGAGATACAACAAGTTTGGCAGGTCAGTTGACATCATCTGCCTGTCGTGCTGCGGCCACTCAATCCAAACATGCAAGGACAGCGGCAGCTCCACCTGTGAACTGCAGCCTTGCACACGATGACTGAAGCTTTTGCTGAAGAGCTGAATCAGTTGTGGATGAGTGTCCAATTTTTGCTGTATCACTTCCAGCAGTGCTTGCACTGCTGACGCACCTAAGGCAGGCGTGACAACATCATAGCAGCCCGCAAACAAGCCATGATTATCCACGATGTCCAAGACAAAGGTGACCACATCTTCAAAGGTTCGCGCCACATGATCGTCCCGAGCATGTCGCAACGGCCAAAGAATATCTTCCAAGATGTGCTGCAAAGCAATCCGAGCACTGCAAATGACTGTTGAACGATCGCTATTAGGTTGGAGGTCATTGCTATTAGGTTGGAAGCCATCACGAAGTTGAGAAGCCAAGGTCTTCAAGCACTTCCTCTGCAGTCCTCCCCGGCTCCGAGGATCCTCGGACAGAAGCTGGCACAAAATGCGGTCGCCCCCGGGGTGGAGGAGAAGACAGGGAATGAGGTCGCTGAAGAAGGATAGAAGTCCCAGCTTTTGATTGAGCTTGTTGCTCAGAGCAAGGCGGCCTCTCAACATTGCCCTGGCTGCTTCGAAGGAATGATGCCACGAGTCCAACTGCTGCTTTGCATGACAACCTTCGCTGACCTCCCGCAGCTGCTTCTCCAGCGACTCCAAGACAAAATCGGCCAAATGTTGCCCAAAGTTCCCATTCTGATCAAGCTGGAGATCCTGAATCATGTCATCCAGGACCTCATCCTGATAAAGCAGCCCAAGCGCTGAAAGATCAAGACGATGGTACCTAGCAGACTTCTGCTTCGCAGTCTAGCATCGATCGCAAATAGGAGTTCTCCCACAAAACCCAAGTTTCTTCAGTATTGCAAGGAGCAATCGCCTAAAAAGAAAGCCATTTATAGGATAGACTTATAGTCCAAGATCTAGTTATAAAAAGAGATAGTAAACCTCCAGATAGAACAGCTCATTGACTGGTGAACTGCTTTTATAATTCATTCATGCTTTTATCCTTTGTCCCCAGGTAAAAACTATTGGTGGAAAATATATTATTACTTGTCATAAGCTTTTTATAGGTGAAATCCTTAGGGAATAAATATGAATAAATAAATCGGGAATTACTTCATCCATATCATTCATATCTTGGAAATGTCTTTCATGGATTTATTTTATGCTGTTCCACCTTTTCATTAATCGATTATTCGGTTTCCAAAACTCTTTTTAATTATAAGAACCCTTTTTTTATTATTCAAGAATTTATTTTATCCTATCAATCACAGCTATAATTTATTCTCCAACATCAGGATTTAATTGTAAGGATTTCATACGAACAGTCCATCACCTACATATTTTAACCCATATTTTTATCTAATATTTATAAACTGCATTCGCGATTTCTTATTCGCATTCATATCTTCTAATAATCGATTACAAATATCATTAATTCTTATATTAACAATAAATTCTCTAACTCTTATATCTTTAATGAATGACATAATATGATGAATCGGATAGAAACCTTATTATTAATATTCTCTTTTTACTTTTGCTTTCATCTCTTAAGTTAACGGTTGGTCCACAAGATCCTTCATCTTTAAATTACAAGTTGTCTTTGCATTCTTCCTTATCATCAACTTTTATTAATTTTAGTGTATTATTTGTTATTTTTCATTATTTATTTCTTCCCTTAGAAGCAGTTCATCCATAAGTTGACAAGTTAATGGTAAGTAATAATAAATATTTATGGCCTAACAATCTATTTCTTCTAATCGTTCATTAACATCATATTATTATTATCTGTAGAAATTATTATTGACATCTTATTATTTTTATCATACATTTATATTATTTATTATGGGTTATTTATTATCTAGAATATATATTATTATCTGTCTCTTGTTATCTTTTAATTTCATATCATTAATCATATTATTCCACTTCTCTTATAACCTTATAATCTTGGATGAGGTGATTCTTGGTTGACCGATATTCTATTTTCATCTCTCTCACACTTCATTTATATAAGACATCTATCTTTAAAGTGTCTTTTGAATAAATTAATAGCATTATAATTCATTTCTTAACATTCATTGGTTGACATCATATTATTTTATTATTTCTTATTATCATCTTATTTATATATAAATTATATCTGGGATAATATTGGTTACGCCACCGATTTCATGGTCTATTCTTATTATTAATTTCTTCTCCAAAGATGATAGTAAATAATAGATTTCTAATCATGGATTTCTTCCACATGTCATTCTCTTCAGATTTCATTATATATATCTCTTATTTTACATCTATTATGGTATTTCTTAAGATTCATCGTCTCATCCCACTTCACTTATATTATTCTTTATTGGTTATTTCTTTTAATCTTATAATCCACTATTGATTTATATAAATGAAGGATAAATAAAATACAATAAACCATAAATTCTATTATTAAAAGGCTGTTGTTCACTCTCTTATTATGAGATTTATTTATGGATTGCCTTGCCAATAATATGCTATAAAATATATAGGTGATCTTCAAGATAGCAAGAACCAATAAAGAAAAGAGATATAATCTCCAATATTAATATGATGATTTAATTCTAGACAATGGTCTATTTTAATGAATGTCTTCTCCATATTATTTCATTTCATCATATTATTATTTATTATCTTAATTAATGATCTATTATTTGGTCAACTAATTCATAGAAATCTTTACATTTATTTATTACTTATTATCATTAAATCTAGGAAAATAGGTCCTCTTAATTTATGAGGATTATTCATTTATGTTCAATGGTCATTTCTATTATTCATTTATTCTCTTCTTTATTAGAATTCAAGACCATTATTATTATTCATATTTCTTGATTCTTAATTTCAAGTTTATGGTCACTCCGCCATTATTTTCATACTCTTATTAATTTCTTTCTGTTTTATTTATTCCTTAAGTTACAAAGAATCCATTATCAATAATTTCTATTAATATTACCTTCTAGATCTATAGGTGATTAAAATAATAAACGTCTATCTTTTTCCTCTGCTATAACCCCTTAGGTACACCTTTTAATCTATTATTGATCACCCACGATTATTCATATATTATTCTCTTCAGGAGCTATACCATCTTCTCCATATATTACTTCTATATTATATTATTCTTTATCTTAATGCCTTCTTTATTATAATTCACTGCTATAACTTAAGGCATCTTTCTATCTTATAATAATATTCTCTTATCTTTATATTAATCATTACTTTACATTTATATTTATATTCTTTTGTAGCTCTTGTCATTTCTATATTTAAATGATATTTCCATAAAAATCTTAACATTAATATCTTTCATGTATTTGTTATTCATTCATGATTATTATGATATTCTTTATGGATTATTTTATTCATTATTAATTATTGGTTTTCTGGTACACTTTTTATTCATTAATTATATCTGGAGGATTAATTCCCTAAGTCATTTTATCCTTACCGTTCAATCTATAATTAATATTAATCTTTCATTATCCTTCTTGTCTCATTATCATTTATATTTCTTATTAATATTTGTAGAATAACTTCTTATTAAAAGATTTTAACCATGATGGAATTTCTTTACTTATGTTGAATTTTCATTATCTGTTATTCTGTTTTCACCTTATGGGTTTTCTATCATTAATTAATATATAGATATTTGACAAGGAATAATTCATATCTTTGATCCACAATATCATTTAATATAGTAATCTCTAATATTTAATGTCAATTATATGATATTATTCACTATTTATTAATTTCATCTATTGGATCACTCTCTAACTTGCTATTAATTTTACTTTGCTTTCTGGAACCTTCATTACGGATCAATGGTTAGGCTACAAAATTAATAGCAAATACCAAGATAATATTTACACTAGAATATGACCCGTCATCCAATTTAAAATAAAAGGATGACGTCATTGTATTATAAGTATTAAATTAATATAAGAGTAAAATTCTTTAA